AAGTTATTCAAAGTAGTCGATTTTTTTCACACTGAAACCTACTGAAACTTTGAAACCTTTGCTAAAATTGTAGTAAAGTGTTTCAGAAAGTGATCTGTGCATTAGAGTTTGCTTATCAGATTCTTATCACTTATTTTCCAAGATGAAATTCATTCCTAGCAGGTTATTGTAAAGTTTTCATGGTTTAATAGTATAAAATGTGTTATTTTGCATATGTGTTTCTTCCTAGAAGAAAAGCATTAAAATAGATAAATAATTCAAAATTTTTGTACAAAAATATGACAGAGCGCAATTCTTCTTATCCCAGAGTTCCTGGTTTCAGTTCAAAAAGTTTTAGATAAATGGTGCCACATAGTTAGCGTTTAAATAGAAAAAATTAAAATTACTATACAACGTGCCACATAGCGATGAATCAAAAGTGGATATTTCAAAAAAATTTGAAAATCATATTTCGATCACTAACTGATTTAGAAAAAATTGTGTTGGGATTTTTAATTTTTTTTCCTTTGTTATACACCTTTACTATCAGCAGTGCCATCTGTCGAACACATTTTTAACTGGAACCAAAAATTCAGGAGGAAAAAAAATGCTTTCCTTGTCAAATAAATTTACAACAAGAATTATTTTGCAACCAAAATTATTTTTATTTTAATTCGTGAAAAGTGTTACTCTAATTAATTAAATGTCTTCCAATATTTGCAGAGTTATTTAAGGCACGTCAGATGAGAAGGGGAGATTTTTCACGACTTCGCGCCATTGAAGAACATTTTAAAAATATTTTTTAAATGATAACTGAAAATGCGTAAGTATGGCATAATGTTTTGAAAACCATTTACCCTTTCGCTGCTTGATTTCTTTTTATCAAAACAGATTCGAAAATTGCGTAGTTTTTTCTTACATGTTTCAAATGTTTAAGGATAATGCTTTTCGAATATGCTAATTATTTTAAAGTTAAAATATACAAAAATTCTTTGTAAAGGAGTTTTTTTTCTTCAATATAGTATTTTAACATTAAAAAAAAGTTTAAAAAAATGAAATTTAAGAATGATCATATTGAAATTTATCGAAAAAATAATCAAAAATTTATTTGATCATAAATAAAGGTTGTCAAAAAAGGAAATTGTGGATTGACCATATTCAAAATCATCAAAAAAAAAATCATAAAATGTTTCTTTGATCGTAAAATAATTGTCAAAAAAGGAAATTGTGGATTGACCATATTCAAAATCATCAAAAAAAAGTTGCCAAAAAATCAAATTGAAGAATGACCATATTCAATATCATCAAAAAAATCATAAAAAAATTTTTTGATCATGAAAAAAGGTCGTCAAATAAGGAAATTGAAGAATTATGATATTCAAAATCATCAAAAAAAAATCATAAAATGGTTGTCAAAAAAAATGAATTTGAAGAAAGATCGTATTCAAAATCATCAGAAAAATAATCAAAAAAATAATTTGATCATAAAAAAGTTTGTCAAAAAAAAAATTCAAGAATTATCATATTCAAAATCTCGTAATCAAATTAATCTTGGTTAAACTATGACTTAATTTATGAAGTATAAAGATAAGTTGTACTCCTCCCTACAATAATGGAAGAGACACTTTCAGTTTTTGACATTTTTTTTTAATTTCTCAAGAATTAATCAGAAGATTATTTTGTAACTTTATTTGATTTTTCATTCTTAGCAATAAGGTTTAAAGATTTGAAGAGCCAACAATAAATTACGAAAAAAACAAGTATTTTTGAACACCTTAGGCCAAAAAAATTAAGCAATGAGCTTGTAACTTGAATAGATAATTTTGGTTGTTTTTTTCAAAAACTGCATAAAATTTCGTAAATCTAGCTTATTTCAGATATAGACATTTTTATCAAAAAACTAATTTTTTGTTTTATTTTTTGATTTATAACTTTAAAAAATTTTGATAAAATTAAGGTTTTTAATAAAAAAAACCGTTAAACCACTAAATTACTTTTTTATAAAAATGTCTACATCTCCACGAATATTTAAGCAAGGTTCACGAAAGTTATCGCAAATTTACAATCAAATTATCGATACAAGTTACAAGCTTATTGCTTGTTTTTCTGGCAAAGGTTGATCAAAAATACTTGTTTTTTTTCGTAATTTATTGTCGGTCCTTCAAATCTTTGAAAGTTTTAAATTTATAGCTAAGTATGAAAAATCGCATGAACTAAGCATCTCTAAAGTTACAAAATAACCCCAAACATTCTAGGTAACTATATAAAAAATGTCAAAAACTGAAAGTGCCTTTTCCATTATTGTGGGGTAGTGTATATACTAACGAAAATATGCAAAATACTTGCAAAACATATATTAAAAATGATTTTTAGTATGATAAATTTTAAAATAGGGCTCATGGCAAAGTTCTACCTCGGAATAATTAAACCAAATTAATTTTAGCTTGCTTTGTTTTTGTTAAGCAACCTTAAGTCAGAAGTTTTGATAGTTTTTCCATTGATGAACCAACACAATCTTGATGGTAACCACTAATAATTCCATTATGAACCATTATATTTTTTGATGGTAAATAACATAAGCAACTATCATCTAAAATGGAGAAATTCAGACTGATTTATGAGGATCCAACATAAGAATAGCAACTTGTTTTGATGGTTTGTTCATGTTGGACCATCGGTAATTTCCATCATAGTTTCCTAGAAATCAAATGTAGGAATGATCATGAGCCACCATCACCCCAATTTAGGAATTTGGACTGATTTATAATGAACCAATATTAAAAATAATTGTTTTGATGGTATATTCCTGCTGAACCAACGTGAATTATTATTAAATCATCGTGAAAATGCATTGTTGTACCATTAAGAGCCATCACGAATTTCCATCGTAGTATCTTAGAAATGAAATGTTTGAACGATCATGAACAACCATCATTCCAATGCAGGAATTCGGACTGATTTATGATGGTCTAACATAAAAAAAACCAAATTGTTTTGATGGTATATTTCTGAGAATCAGCAAGAATTTCTATTAAACCATCATGGAAATTTATAGATGGAACTATCGTGGATTGTTTGTCCATGAGAGTCAAACTTCTCTTGATGGTTAACCATCATAGTCTTAAAGTATCATTTTCCATCATGGAATGATGAAAGTTTGTATGCATGTCAAAAACTATGAAGGCATAATGGGAAATGTTGGATGATGGTAACCATCAAATTATGTTGGACCATCATGAATCGCATGAAACCAACATAAACCATCAAAATTATTTGATGCGGCCATCAAAAATTTTGACTTCAACAAACAGCAAACTTTGAAAAGGGCGTTCAAAATGCTGCTAAACGTGCTTGTATGTTTCACAAAAATAACCATCTGTTGATCCAGATCTGAATAGCATCACAAGAAAGCCGGGATGAAACCATGAAGAGCAAAAAGAGCAGATTGCTCAGTTAAAAAATGGTTTCTTCTTTCAAATAAAAAAAAAATTTGCACAAATAATGCTTAGTAAAAAGTTTGCTAGTTCTTCGATGCCCGTGGAAATCGCGGCATATGCTACGAGAGGGTTAACCATTTCAATATGAGGAGTGTTAAAAAATTTTCCCCTTGTATATATTTTTTTGTAATATTTCTGAAATGTAGTAAATGTACTCATATTAGGAGCAATTAATTAATTAAAACTAATAACAAAATATTTAAGTCTGATAAACGAGCTATAATGTTGCCATAATTTCCGCATTATTATCAAGGTAAAGAACTGTGGAGCAGACTTTTCAGATGCACCCGATATTTTATATCCATTATTTAGCCAATATAGGTTCTATGTTGGCCAATGTAGTCCCTATATAGGTCTTTCCAGGACCAATATTACAAAATATTGGCATCCCAAAATTGGTTCTTCGGTGCATGTTCTTATAGGAACCACATTGAGCCAATTTTGAGCCCAACTGGGATCAAGGTGTAATTGTTGCTAGGGGCTTATATACTCTTTGTGTATAAACAAAAAACAGAAAAGCTATATAAATTACGGGTTCATATGAACCATCGCCATGAGATTTAGTGTTGAGAAAACTAAGTGTTTTCGTCTTGTTTATTTTTTGTAATATCGGGCTTTGCAATGTTTAGCGTTTTTGTCTCGTTTACTTTTCTAACAATGATTTTATTAGTTTTTACTAATTTCACAACTCGTATAAAACGTTAATTCTTATTACGTGGCAATCTCTCATAGAAATGAAATGTTGAGTGATAATGGTCATGTTGAAGTCTACGTATATGGGATTATTTTGTAGAAAAACAACAGCATTTTTTTATTTTTTATTTTTATTATTATTTTTTTCAAATATACTTTTTGAAGGCATTAGAATCATGTACACCAAATAAAAGTCTTTTTGGATCATCTGTACCATTTAAAAGTCAATTGTCTATACCAAATAAAGTCATTTGGGTGATATGTCCCATTTAAAAGTCATTATGATCATCTATACCAAATAAAGTCATTTGGGTGATAGGTCCCATTTAAAAGTCATCGATACCAAATAAAAGTCATTTGGATCGTCCATATTTTTTAAGTCATTGGGATCATCTATTCCAAATAAAGTCATTTGGGTAATATGTCCCATTTCAAAGTCATTATGATCATCTATACAAATAAAGTCATTTAGGTGATATGTACCATTGTAAAGTCATTGTGATCACTTATACCAAATAAAAGTCATTTGGATCATTTGTACCAAATAAAAGTCATTTGGATCGTCCACGCTTTTTAAGTCATTAGATCATCTATACCAAATAAAGTCATTTGGGTGATATGTCCCATTTAAAAGTCAATTGGATAATCTGTACCAAAAACATTTTTTGGTTCATATGTACCATTTAAAAGCCATTATGATGATTGATACCAAATAAAAGTTATTTTGATCATATATATATATCTTTTAAAGATCATTAAAATCATATATATTTTTAAAAGTCATCTGCATCATTTATACCATTTAAAAGTCATTAGAATCATTCGTATGATTTAGGAATGATGTGGATCATCCGTACCATTTAGAATCTTTAGAATCATTTGAACCCACTCAAGGTTTTCCTCTAGACTACAATGGCCACCATTATTCGCGTTATCATTTGTTCCACTATAATCAAATAAACCATTCTCATTAGTACGATCACTAAGTTCAATGTCACCCTCAGAATCAACACAATCCTTATAATCATCGTCATCGCTTGCGATCTTCCGCATCATCTTGACCCAGGAAAGAAAATTCGCTGGATTATTAGGATCACTCAACTCATCGGGATCAGCATCACTCTGATGATACCCGGAGATTTTATGATCATTTGAATCATTCAGAACACTAGAATTTCCCAAAGCATTTGAGTCCGTGTAATCACCAAACTCTTTCCGATCATACAGCGTACAAGAATCACCAGTTTCTTTAGGATCACCTAAGCCGGATAAATTAACATAGCCTGTAGAACAATCCTTAATATCACTATCATCAGAAGGTTTAAAATCACAAGGATTGTTCTGATCATCAGGATTCTTACAGCTTCCCGAACCGCTTAAAATGGTTAATATTTTCTGAACCCAAGCGAGATTATCCTCTAGGCTATTATAATCGCCGTAGTTTGTATTATCCCTTGTGCCGTTCGGAGAAGATACATCTTTTTCATTTTCAAGACAGTTGGAATTAGTGGCACCATTAGAATCAACACACTCTTTAAAATCATCATCATCATTTGCAATCTTTCGCATCTTCCTGACCCAAAAAAGGAAATCCTCTGTATCATTAGAATCACCACACATTTCATTATCAGCAGCATCGTGAGCATCATCTTTAACTTCACAATCGTTCAAAGCATCAGGATTTTTTAAATCACCAGGAATGTTCTGATCATAAAATTCCTCACATTCATCTGGAGCACAAGATTCATCCATTATTTTAGAACCTCCCGGGCTGGATAAATTAGAACGATCAGTAGGACTATCATGAATATCACTGTCATTCGAATGTTTTGACTCTCCTGAATCGTTATGATCATCAGGATTTTTAAGAGCTTCTAAACCATCTGAAATAGTCATCTGAACCAAAGCAAGATTGTCATCTGGGTCAGTATAATCACCACAATTTGTTATATAATTGGTGCCTTTGGAATCTTTATGATCAAATGAATTTTTCATATTTTCAAGATCTTGAACATCAGTGGCACCATTAGAAATCACACAATCTTTAAGATCGTCTCCAGTTTTTGAAACCTTTAGCATCATCCGGTCCCAAGAAAAGAAATTCTCGGATTCATTAGAATCACTTGCCTCTTTGGAATCAGCAAAACCATGCAAATAACCAGAAATTTCACTATCATTCGAATCATTCAAAGCATCAGGATTTTCCGAATCATCTGATGGAATGTTACAGTCACCTCGATCACAAAGATCACTACCCTCTTTAAGATCACCAGGGTCAGATAAATCAACCCAACCTCTTGGACAATCTTGAATGTCAAGATCTCCTTCGTTCTCTCGTTCATCGATCGAATCATCTGATGAGATGCTACAGTCACCTCGATCATAACGATCACTACTCTCTTTCAGATCACCAGGGTCAGATAAATCAACCCAACCTCTAGGACAATCTTGAATGTCAAGATCTCCCTCGTTCTCTCGTTCATCGATCGAATCCTCTGATGAGATGCTACAGTCACCTCGATCATAACGATCACTACTCTCTTTCAGATCACCAGGGTCAGATAAATCAATCCAACCTCTTGGACAATCTTGAATGTCAAGATCTCCTTCGTTCTCTCGTTCATCGATCGAATCATCTGATGAGATGCTACAATCACCTCGATCATAACGATCACTACTCTCTTTCAGATCACCAGGGTCAGATAAATCAA